GAGGGGGCGGCACCGCCTCCGCCGGGGGCGGCGCCTGGCGCGGGCGGGGAGGCCCCGCGGGACCCGGCGGCGGCGGCCGCGCTGAGGGCGGAGGGTGCGGCCCGCGTAGGGCGGGTGTGAGGGCACGGAGCGGTCGGGAGGCGGCTCTGGAGCGAGCCGTTCCCATACGACAGCCCGAGCGGCTCCCCTCGGACAGCCCCGGGGGCAGCGCGGCGGCTCCGGCACCGCCGTGTGCGGGGGGCGGCCGCGGTAGCTGCGGGTGGGACCTGCCCCAGAGATGCGCTGGGTTTTCAATGAGTAATAGTAAAGTAATAGATCTGCGTCCTTTTCGGCTTGTTCCTAACCTGCGAACTGTAGGAAACCGGAGTCATCTAAAAGCATTGGCGGCTTTCCTCTGGACCTTGATGGGTTGTTCTCCAGGTCCGGTTTCCTCAGTGTTTACTCGCTCTCACGAAGTTGGACATCAACAGCAACGTCTCCTTGAAAAGGAAAAAAGAAGTTGGCTGGAAAAAGCGCAGGCACAGTGTCTCTGTGCCCACCCCGTGTCACTGCCCCCAGCCCGGGCGGGCCCTGCCTTGCCCGTGGCAGTGCTGGGCAGTGACCAGGGCCCACAAGGCTTCTGTTTTTCTCAGTACCAAGGTACACTGTCAGGTGATGACTGAAATGCATGGGTGACCCCTAGTAAGGCAATGTTTTCTTAATCCTTTCTGAACTGCAGTCCCTTTTTGACCCAGCGATACAGGAATGATAACATGGTTATGATTTCCCAGCTGAACAGCCGGGACCTGATTACTCTGCAGAGCTCTGAGTGCCTCTATTCATCGTGTGAAATCTGTCACTGACGTGCTAGATAAAGTTAATGTTGTCAACTAAAATGTGTTCCTATGGCTAGATTATTTTCCTCTCTGTAAAATGTGGGTATTATTATCCACAAATAAAAACAGCTTCAGTCCTGCTTGTAAACTGCTTGATGATCATTAGATGGAAAGCGGTAGAGGAAGTCTTTTTTATTAAGTAGTGTTTGTCAATTCCTCTCTTTATGAGGCAGCATGTGGTATATTAAGCAAATAAAAACTAAAGTGCATTTTTGAGTCTCAGGTGCAGCCCATCTAAATATCCTAACACCATCATAGGCGATCACAATCTCATGGTGGAACTGCTCATGCTAATAGAAGAGCAATTGGCTCAATCATGCAAAGAAATTTTTTACCTTTTCTGTTTCTTTTCCATTTTCTTCTCATCTGCTTAATGGGGCTGAGTAGCCATAAACCAGAATATGTGACTGCTGCGTGAGTTCAGCTAAGCTCGGGAAGAATTTTGCAAGTGAAATACTGTCAAGATCAGGCCAAGGAGTGTAGCAGGAACACGAGTGTTTTGGCAGGACAGCACAGTGTGGTTCTGGAGCGCAGGGCCCTGAGGTTGTGATCAGCACACCTTGGTCTTATTTCACCTGGTTGTGTTGCTAAAGGCAACCATTTTTCCTGTCAAGTCATGCATGTCTGAAAGATTGAATCAGACCTGGCAGAGATGTGGATTCAAAGACCTTCTAGCTTTATCTAAATCTCTGTAATTACACAGCCCTCTTTTTCCTAGGCATGTGTAGGGGGCTCTCCTCCACGAAATTCTGTTGTCAGTACTGTACTCGATCTCTTTGCAGGATGGGTCATGGATGAGCCTTGGGGTGCTCAGCTCTTTGTAGGTGATGGTGAAGGTGGGTACACAGCCTGCCTATGTTGCCTCCTCTTCAGATGGAATCCTCTGATATAATTATATCAGTGTGGAGTATTGTCTGCTGTAATGAGGATACCACAAGGCATTTCCATTTTGTAATTTGAACACATTTTCTTCTGATTTTGCAGCCTGAGTGCAGAAGTGTTTTCATCTGCAGAAATAAAGGGACATTTGCATATAAACATGAGAACTGAGGATGGGGACTGCGTGTGCAGGAGGGGGATTTCAGCTCTCTCCTGCTTCCTTTACTCTGCCAAATTTGAAGTATGCATTTTTGAAGCCAAGGTCATGGACCAAATACTATACAGCTAAACTTACTTTACTATGATTAAATCGTTTAAAGTTACTACTGATCTATATTAGTTTAATATAGACTGTCATGGACTTATTCCAGATGAGGCCTAGATAAAGCAGCAGAATTTTGTCTTAGGACTTGACTTGTTATACAAAGTGTCATGAATATAATGGCACTGAATAAATAATTTACAGTAGCATGTGCCTGGTTTTATTTGTAGAGTATAAATTGAGAATAATTTATATTAACTAACATAAAGTTAGTTTGAGCATACAGAGGAGAATACATCATTCTGGAAGGCCATGCAGTACTTTGAAAATAAGAGATAAAAAGTGGGAAATGGAGGCATTGAAAAGGAAATGCTTATGTAAGATTTAGCTTTAATAAGGCTTGTGATTAGAATAGTGCAGATCTGTGGATTCCAGATCTTTTAAGACTTTCTCTAGTATGCATTAGGTCATGCTTGGAAGTTCTGAAAAATCCAGTAACAGACAGGCTACTTTATTTCTTACTGCAGTTTAAAGGAAGCTTGTATGCACTTTCAGAGACATAGATAAAGAACTAGTAGAACTAAGTATTAATAAACCAAGAAACTGATGCAAAAATTTACCATCTCTGTTGAGCAAATCATATAAACAGCTGTGGTGGTGCCTCCCCCTCTACCCCCAGTGGGGAGCAAAATAGTCAAAAGCAGTGGCTGAAAGAGGGAATCTTTTTTTCTATTGTCAACAAATGACAAGATGACAACAAATTACAAAATGGGAAGAGTACAAGAGGTGAAAAGGACATAACAAGGTTGGTCTAGACATTAGAATTAAAATTACAAAGCACAGCCAGATATGCAGATTTGAAAGCAAACCATTTTAATCTTATCCATACGACAGAATGACTATCTGCCATCTGGAATTCAGGGAATCTGATAAAGACCAGAGGTGTAAACAAGACACACAGTGTTAACATCTGTTTTCAGTGTGTGCTGATATATATGAGTCCTTGAGGGATAAGTTAGAGAAAATAATGGAAATTGATAAAACCTGGTGATATTAAAAGGATCACACATAACTGTATTTGTTTAGAAAGAGTATGGACTTACACACACTGAAAATAAATAATGCATACAATGTATTTTCTGTTTTCTATGAATCTCATTTTCCAGCTCCCATAAATCCTTGAACAGGACAGCATTCCCAGCAGATGTAACATTTTGGAAGGTTTGGCATATGATACAGCTCCTATTCTTCTCCCAGGAACAGCTAATGGATACAAATCAGTAAGTTCTGAAAACTTAGAGTAGTATCTCATCTATCTCCCACTCTAGCTCCTGTTCCATTGCTGAGAGTAAGACTCCAGGATGACTATGCCATTACAAATACATTTGGCAATCTGAGCCTAAAACATTACAGAATATGATAAAACTTAAGGTCTGCTTCTCTGATGTTCAATACAAACAAAAAATTACAACACTAAAGAGTGCTATATCCATGTTAAAAAAAGGTTCTTTTAATATTTGGCCTTGATACCATTTTCAAAGGACCCACAAAACAATACAAAAACCCATTAAAAGTGTTTTGTGCAAACCGGCTTAAAAAGATTGGTTGACCAGGACCAATATTTTGTTGCTAGGAAGGGAACAATGATGACATTGATTATTTCCACAGTTAAGAGTCTACAATGTAATTGATTTCTATCTGACTCATTTAGTGTGGGCAGGCTCCATTTGTTCAAGAAACCTGTAATATATTCCTTGAATCACTGTAACTATGAGAGATATAAAAGTTGATGTAATGAGTTAAACACACTATTTAACTCAATTTGTTTTGCACACTGAATTCCAGTTTCTGACACAGATACACGTTCTATCTAGAGCTACTGGTCCTCTTTCTAAGATGTTTTGTTCATTTTGTGTGCTGCCAAATATTCAAGAGTTCTACTTTATTCAGGGTGCTCTGATTTTAGATTTCCCTGTCCTGAGATTTCATTTTTGGGTACACTGAGTCCTTGCACCTTTCACTGAGTAATTGAGACCTGGGCTGCCAGCAAATTAGAAAGTCATGACCAGTAAAGACTCCAGTGAATGAGAGAGCTAGACTAGAAGGAATTATTTCATCTAGTGCATATTTTTGAAACATTAAGTGTCTACTCCTGAAGAGCCATGGATGTTCAGGTCATGAGTTTGTACTGAAAATTCTAGACAGAAAAAATGCATAGGAGTCCAGAAGGGCTAGAGCTAAGTGAAGAAACCCAAGGCTTTAATTGAAGTACCCATTTCCAAAGTTATGCAGAAAATTTGTCACTGACCGTCACCTCATCCTGAACTATCTCCGAACTTTGTGACTTAAATGTTCTCCAGAATTAATCCCATCAGAATTGGACAGCATTTGCCTTCTATCTAAAGTTTATGATTCATGCTGCTTATCAAGATCTGTCCAGTCACAAATGGGAGGGAATTAGGCATATAAATAGAAGCTATTTAGTATATAT